GGTGTGTCCCCTGTCCTTGGGAGCCCCCAGTGTATGTGGGGTGCATCTCCTGTCCTTAAAAGCCCCTAGTGTGTGTGTGTGTGTGTGTGTGTGTGTGTGTGTGACACACTTGCTGCCCTCGGGGAGTCCATGAACTGAGGGCAGGATGGGAACAGGGCAGGGACAACCTCGGAGAGTTTCCTCGAGATGGGTGAAAAGTGCTGAGTCCCCTCCTGACGCCCAGCTCCTGTATAGGTTCTGCCTGATGGTGAAGAAGGGCTACCGAGACCCCCCCTATCATAACTGGATGCACGCCTTCTCCGTCTCCCACTTTTGCTACCTGCTCTGTAAGAACCTGGAGCTGTCCAAATATCTGGAGTGAGTGGTCCCAGCCCCCAGCGCCATAGACTCCTCTCCCAGGGATCCCTCATTCAGCTGCACTGGAGGGAGTTGAGGGGACTGAGGCCCGGAGAGGGGAAAGAACCTATCCAGGGTCATGGAGAGAGTGAGGAGCAGAGCCTGGGCTGGAGCCCTAACCCTCTGACTCACCCTCTGCTTGAGCCGGAGGGCAGTTGAGTTAGAGATGATCTGGTTCTGTTCTGCCATTTTACAGATGAGGAACACTCTCCAAAGGTCAGAGTTAGCGGCAGGGGTGTGCCAGAGTCAGCGCCTCCCCTCCCACTCAGCTGTTCATTTTTCACCGTGAGCATTCCCACCTTGGAAATCAGCAAAGCCACAAATCAGCTCTCCATTTAGCATTTTGTTGATTGTCTAGGCCACAGGTGTCAAACATGTGGCAGGCTAGAACCAGATTAAAATGCAATCGGGAAGTATTTAACAAAATAAATAAAAATACAATAAAACTAAGTCAGTCTGTGGCCTGCAGGGTCCTTCTGTAGGGACTAGCAGCCACTGTTTCCATTTGAATTTGACATCTCTTGTCTAGACTTAAGAAAGTGATGGCAAAGATGCTGGGAATGAAAGATAGCTTCAATCCAGACCCTGCTCAAGAGAGTTTACAATCTAATAGGAAAGTCAAGTGCACAAATAACTATGATACAGGTGAGGGCCTGGCCATGGGCTGTGACAGGTGTGAGGTGAGAAAACTGTCTCAGCTGGAGGGATCAGGGCAGACTTCCTGGAGAAGGCAGGTCCTGGAGCAGTTGGGACTTGGAGGACCAAGGAAGGGGCTTGTCCAGGGCTCTGTCCACTGACTTGGGCTGTCTCTGCAGTTTGGAGGTATTCCCTCCCTCGGCCCTCGCCTTCCCCTTTCCTTAGAGAGTGGGAGGGGCAGCAGGAGGCTGGACCAGCTTCCCTCTGAGGCTCTCATCTCCTCCCTCAGTGACATCGAGATCTTTGCCTTGTTCGTCTCCTGTATGTGCCATGACCTGGACCACAGAGGCACCAACAACTCCTTCCAGGTGGCTTCGGTGAGCCTCTGGCCCTTCCCATGAGGAGTGGGAGGGGACGCTTCAGCTCTCTCCAACCAGTCATGGAATGGAATTGATCAGGACAGGCTTCCTGGAGGAGGGGGTGCCGGATGTGGGAGGAGGGTAGGGGGAAGGAGGACTGGTCCAACTCAGGGACTCAGAGAGGGTGAGGTGTGGGAGGAACATTTCTGGAGTCGGGTGAGTAACTCGGGAAAAGGCTTGCCCCGGGAGGTATGGGGTAGAAATCTGGATGCTCCAGGGGTGGAGCTGACAGCCGGATCCCCTGGGGACTTTTTCAGAAATCCGTGCTGGCCGCGTTGTACAGCTCTGAAGGCTCCGTCATGGAGGTAATAATTACAAAAATGACTCACTTACTAGTTGCTTTCCTCCCAACAGCTCTGTGAGGTAGGTGATGCAAGTAGTATCATCCCCGTGTTAGAAACGAGGAAACAAACCCAGAGAATGAAAGTGTCTTATCCAGAGTCTCACAGATAGGCAGTGGGAGGACCAGAATTCCACCCCAGATCTTCTGCTTCCAAGACCAAGCCCCTTCCCCTCCCACATGCTGCTTGTTTCCTGCCTGTCCCCACAGACTACTCCTCTGAGCTGGCATACAGCTCCAGGGAGACTGGCCTTTCCTCTTTCTCTCTGTTCTTCCCAGCTAGCTCAAAAGAGCCATAGGTTGGTTCTCCATACCTCACCCCCATCTTCCCCTTCTCCTCCCTCATACCTCTACCCCCAACCAACTCAGCACCCATAGAGAGGGTTTACAGAATACGCCTCATTCATATCTCACTGGGAAATAGATTTCGAGAACATTATAAGACGATTTTAGAGCCAGACGGGACCTGAGAGTCCAATGCCCTTTTCTTTTAAAACATGTTTTATTGGGGCAGCTAGGTGGCGCAGTGGAGAGCATGTCAGCCCTGGAATCAGGAGGACCTGAGTTCAAAATTGACCTTAGACACTTACTAGCAGTGTGACCCTGGGCAAATCACTTAACTCAGATTATCTCCTAAAACAAAACAAAAATGTTTTATCGATATTTTTCCTTCTTTTTTAAAATGTCTCTTCCCAATGACTTCTTACCTTTCCCCCCTCTCCTTCCTCTCCCTTTCCCACCTTCTTTCTCCAGTAAAGACACAGACTTGGGACTTAGAGGGCAGCAGTGGACCTACCCAAGGTTGCCTAGAAAGTGTCAGTCAGGACTTGAATACAGTGCTTTTTCCCGTATGCTGTGTGACTGTCCCAGAGTTGGTTTCAGGCCGAAAGGAACTCAGAAAACTTTATGAAGTATAGGTGACCCCTAGAAGTTCATTCCACCTCTTAACAGTGGAGAGGAAGTCGGAATAGATGGAAGGCAGTATAATGTGGTGGAAAAAAGCTTGTACTCCGTGTCAGGCAGCTTGCAGAGGGTGGGGAGCTGGGTCAGGCCTAGAATTTTCAAACTGTGCGACCCTTAACCTCTCTGTGCCTCACCTTCCCCATGGGTATGATGAAGGGGTTGGAATAGGCTGCCTTGGGAGGGAGGGGATTCTCAAACTCTAAAGGGCTTGAAGGAGCGATCAGATGACCACTTGTGATTAATCATAGGCTCATAGGGCTACAGCTGGAAGGGGCCTCAGAGGTCCAGAGCCCAACCCCTTCATTCTACAGGTAAGTAAATTGAAGCTGAGGGAGTGAGGTGATTTGTCAAGGTCCCACAGATAGGAAATGTCATCGGCAGATTTCAGAAGGGGGACCTCCACTCACACTCCAGAGTGTGGAGGAAATAGTTAACAAATGTTCCTTGTAGCTCAGGGATTCTGAGAAATCACTGAGGGAGTGAAAGAGACACATTTATTTCCAGGGGTGAGACTCTTCCTTGAATCACAAATGGGGACAGCTTCTCATTATCCAGTCATACAAATTAGAAGTGGGAGGGTCAGGACTTGAACTCAGATCTTCTTCAGAGCTCCTTCTCCCATACACTCTTATTTCTTCCCTTTCTATACCCATAGTTCCCCTGGGCTGACGTAACACCCACAGAGAGCCTGGGGGTCAGTCTGATTTTTTCTTTTTCTTCTCCATTATTCCTCAAACCTCATCTTCCCAGTTAACTCATCAACCAGACCAACCCAGTGCTAACAGCCCATGTTTCTTTGTCTATTGTGGGTCTCAGCATCCCTTCTTGGGAGTGGGGACAGTGGGGCAAAAGCATCCAGATAGGTACTTGCACAGGGCCCCATCCCTACCTCCTCTTTTCCCCACAGAGACACCACTTTGCTCAGGCGATTGCCATCCTCAACACCCAAGGTTGCAACATCTTTGATCACTTCTCCCGCAAGGTGAGAGATATTCAGTCTTGGGCCGTGTGTGTGTGTGTGTGTGTGTGTGAGAGAGAGAGAGAGAGAGAGAGAGAGAGAGAGAGAGAGAGAGAGAGAGAGAGAGAGTTGTGTGTGTGATATTCGGTGTCCTAGGGTTTGGGGGAAGAGGATGGGACAAACCAGAGTGGGGATGGGGGGAGGTGAGTAAGGCAGCATCAGGGTTTGGGGCATAGGAATCTGAGGGGTGGAAGATCTGGGGGCCCTGAGGGAGCTAGGCTGTGACATTGTGCCCATCTCCTGGTTCCCACAGGACTACCAGCGGATGCTGGATCTGATGAGAGACATTATCTTGGCTACTGACCTAGCCCACCATCTGCGCATCTTCAAAGACCTTCAGAAGATGGCTGAAGGTATACCTGTCAGAGACCCAGAAGCTAGGGGCGCTTCCCACCCTTCCTTTGTACTCCTTAGAGGCCCTGTGGATATTAGAGGTAGAGGTGATAGGTGGGGTGGAGGAGAAACTGATGATTTGGAAGCTACTACCATCCTGTTGGCCTGGAGAGAGTAGGTAAGGAGGAAGAACCCTTTGTAACAGATGTGCTTTTGGGTTTCAGGTCCCATCAGGGATCAGCATCCTGGGACACCAATTTTTAGTGCTTATCCAAGGGACATTTGCCTTCTGCTCCAGAGCTTTCATTTTTCACTACTTTCTAAAGACCGCTGGTCTCTGAATCCCAACTCTAGGTTCCCCTTGCACCTCAAGACTGGTCCTGAGCCTGTTTGGCTTCCTAGATTTACTCCACCCAGGCCCTAATCACCTTCCCCTCTCTCTGGATATGGTCACCTAACTGGACATCCTGGTGTGCCATCATCTGCTCCCCTCTCCCTCTTTTCCCTTGCCTCTGCACACTCCATAGTTGAGTATTTTCTTGGCTTGATTTACAAAGAAAAAAAAGAACAGAGAGATAGAAAGATTTAGGAATGATGTGCTAGAAGTGCATGCATCAGAAGCCCCCCCCCCACAGAGTCCTACACATCGATCTGGAGTGGGGATCTCAGGGTCCAACCCTCTCATTTTACAGATGAGTCTATGAGATTTAGGGAGGATAAGTTAATGCGTCACACATTAATGGTCACACAGGTGGTAAATGTCAGAGGTGGGATTTGAACCCAGGTCTTTTTATTTCATAGGCCCACTTTGACCAAATGCAAATGTTGACTTCCCCCCAGAGCTCATTTAAGGCAGTGTTAGGGCTCACCTTCCTCTGGCTCCCTAGAGCATACACTCTTGGCCAATCCTGATGGCTTTGTCCTCCACCCACAGTACTGGGTCATCCTTCAGGTGAGAGAGAGCTAATTGTATCTCTGCCCCCTAAGGTGCAAAAAGGGAATGGGCCAGTTCTAATCACCCAGAAGCAATGTGGTATAGTGGAAAGAGTGATGGATTTGGAATCAGAAGACTGATTTCAAATTCCGCCTCTGACACTTATTACTTGTGTGACCTTGGGCAGGTCACTTGACACCTCTGGGCTTCAGTTTCCTCATCTGTATAATGAGGGAGTGGGGCTAGATGGCTTCGAAGGTCTATTCCAACTCTAAATCCTCACATACATCCATAGTCCATAATTTGAATCAATGGGTATTCTACATTTCCATGAATGCTGAACCTCCCCTTACTGTCTCCTTAGCAGACAAATTCCATGAGTTGTTATGAGCAGAAGCATCTCCTCCTGTCCATCTCCCTGGTGCTAAGTCCTGGAATGACAGACAAACCCCACAGTTCATCTAAGGCTCAGTCCTGGAAGGCTTCCCAGCTTGCTAAGACCTGTCATAACCTGTGCTTGCCTGGTTCAGCAGGAACAGGCCCTTTGAGGCTGGGATGGGGATATGTATGTAAGGGTGCAATACTAGTCTATGACCACCAGGCATCAGCATCACTCTCATGTCTACAGAAGTGATCCCTTATAAGAAAGAGGAGAAGTCCAGAGGTTTAATATTTTATTTTAATATTTTTTGGGGGTGTCATGCCTCCTCTCTGTGTGTGCCCCAATACTGTCTCTCTCCCGTTTCCTACCTGCAGTGGGTTATGACCCAAAGAATAAACAACACCACAGCCTTCTGCTCTGCCTGCTCATGACCTCCTGTGACCTCTCAGACCAGACCAAGGGCTGGAAGACCACGCGGAAGATTGCAGTGAGTGCCCCTCTCCCCCTTTCCCTGCAGGCAGTACTGTCTGCATCTTGCAGCAGCTCAGGACCCGGGCCCTGAGGAGCGACCTTAGGCAGATGGCTCAGCCCTCAGCGCTGGGGGATCTTCAGGGAGGACGGAGCATCTGAGTGGGGCCATGAAGGATGGGTAAATTTCTGCAAGTGAAGCTGGGACTGGGGCAGGGGTCACACTGTCCTGTCAATCAACATATCAGGAATCCCGTCAGCAGTGAACACGGGAGATCACTTCTGTTACAAAACAAAAAGACCTGTTCACTGCCTCCTATGGGCAGGGCCACAGGCTGTGCTGTGATATGGGGAAGGCAGACTGGTAAGAGATGACCTCCAGGCTTGGAGAGCGCCAGCCTTGACAGAGAATCAGACAGATGTAATACCAGATGGTGTTCAGCGAGGGTGAGGTCACTTATATGGCTAGAGATCAAAGAAGACTTCATGGGAGGGGGGCACCTGGGCTAAGCCTTGATTATTGATATATTGATAGGAGAGACATCAGCAGAGAAGAGGGAGGAAGGCATGCTCAGGATGAGCAAACTGTGGTGGGGCAGGAAACGGGGATGAATAAATCCCAGAGCAGAATGTCAGAACTTAAAGGGATTTTTGGCATTGAATTTGGACAGACCTGGGTTCAAATCCCAGTTCTGCTATTCACTAGTTAGGTCAGAGAGTCAATAAACATTTATCAAGTGCCAGCCATGAGCCAAGCACTGTGATGAGTGCTGGAGATACAAAGAAAGGCGAAAATCATCCTTGTTCTTGCTACACTCTCAGTCTAATGGGAGAGGCAACATGCAAACTAGGCAGGGGGTACATATGTGTATACACACACATGTATATAAGTATATATGCATATGTGTGTGCATATACACACATGTATATATGTGCACGCATATATACATATATGCTTATATTTGTGTATATGGACACAGGTGGTACAGTGGATAGAGTGCTGGGCCTGGAGTCAGGAAGACTCATCTTGCTGAGTTCAAATCTGGCCTCAGACACTTCCTAGCTGTGTGACTCTGAGCAAGTCACTTAACCCTGTTTGCCTCAGTTTCCCCATCTGTAAAATGAGCTGGAGAAGGAAATGGCAAACCACTCTAGTATCTTTGCCAAGAAAACCCCAAATGGGGTCACAAAGAGTCAGACAGGGCTTAAAAATGATAGCATGTGCACATGTATCCATGTCCATACACACATGTATGTGTATATATGTACACACATATCTGTATATATTACACACACGTATGATAAAGTAGAGATAATCAGCAGAGGGAAGCCACAGAAATCAAGGGGGATCAGTAAAGGTTTCTTGTAGAAGGTGAGATTTTGCCTGTGTGATTTTAGGTGAGTCATTTCCCCTTTATTGTTAGCATGTTTTGCCTCTTTGGAATAAGGGCTTGGACTAGATGATCTCTAAGGTCCTTAAATTTTTTTAATTTTTGTTTCAATTAGCAAGAAATCTATTTTATCTTCCTCTCATCTCCCCACCCACAATTAGGAAAAAAGAAAAACAAAATCTTTGTAACAAGCATGCATTGTCAAGCAAAACAAATCCCTGCATTGACCACATTACGATCTGTATACTGAGTGCCTCTCCTTCTTCTCTTTTAGAAGGTGAGAAGTGATCTTCTCCCATGGTCACTACTGATGGGCGTCCTCGTATGTTGGTTGACATGACAGTGTGACCCTTGACCCAAGGCATGCTTCATCACGAGTCCATGAATCCTACTTGGCTGTTGTGTTATCAGAGTACTCTAACATCCTTTCCAGGCCAAAATCTTACGATCATAGAGGTCAATTTTCTAATTTTACTGAGAAGGAAACAGACACAAAAATGACTTGTCCAGGATCATAATTTAAGGGGCAGAGCTGGAACTTGTCTCCTCCTGATTCCCAGGGACTCAAAGGGTTTTCCAATCCCATCAGTCCCCCTTATTCTGAAGGGATCACACATTGGTGTTGTCAGGAGGGACCCTGAGATCAGAGTAAGGGGCCCAACTTGGTCCCTGAATCAGCTTCTTGGGGAGCAGGGGAATCAAGAACATTTGGGAGCTTATGGGTCTGCATTATACTTTCAGGAGCTGATCTACAAGGAGTTCTTCTCACAGGGAGACCTGGTATGTGTGTCCTCCCACCTCATGCATGGGTCAAGTGGCTGACAGGAGCTGGGAGTATCCTCAGTTCCCAACCTAACCCCGCCATGGTTAGGGCCAGAGTTCTAGGACTCTTGGGCAGCCATGGGGAGGAGGGAGGCTGGTCAGAGTAGGCTCTGCTTCCCCTACTCAGTTAGGGGGAACTCTTTGTGTTTGGTGGAAGGTGGCTGAGGACCAGGAAGGGGGCAATAGGAAAGAAATGCCCTGTCCTCATGAGGCTCCCATTCTTAGGGGGGGAAAGGGCTCCCCCTCCCAGGGATCCTGTGGTTTGAGGTGGGGAGAACATGGCTAGTATCTTTAGGGAGCTCCTAGCCTGAGGGGAAGTCAGGATGTCTGCCCGTAGGGAATCCCCAGAATCCCTAGAAAGAGAAAATGGCACATGCCAGCCTTCAGTGAGGGGCAGGCCAGGCCTGGCCTGACCTGACCTGTGGGAAGTTTCTGGTCTCCCCAAACTGAGTTTTGATTGGGGTAGCCATTCTAAGATATGGGGGTGTAGTAGGGACCTGGGACAGAGCTGGTGCTGGTTGTGTCTTTCCCAGGAGAAGGCCATGGGTAACCGGCCCATGGAGATGATGGACCGAGAGAAGGCTTATATCCCTGAGCTCCAGATCAGCTTCATGGAGCACATTGCCATGCCAATCTACAAGTGAGTGCGCATAGCAGCCTTGCCTCCCTGTACCCAACGCTACTGAGAGGGCTGGGAAGCAGCAGTTCAATTGGATTCAATTTGGCACACTTCAGTCATTGTGCTGGGCTACAATGATGGGGAGGGAGGGAGAGAAGAGAGAGCGAGGGAGAGAGAAGGAGAGAAGGAGAGAGAAGGAGAGAGGGAGAGGGGGAAAGAGAGGGAGAGAGGGAGAGAGAGAGTTATTCCTATAGTTAAGGAGCTCAGTCTAGTATTGGGAGGTTGGGGAAAGGGAGTTAAGATATGTACACATAATTGTAATACCAGGCAGGCAGGGATAGGAGAGTCCAAGAATGCAGATGCGTGGATGTGAGGAACAAAGAGGAGGAAAGGATCACTTCTGTTCAGGGGTAGTAGTGATGGGGGAAGCTTCATAGATCACACGGGTCACACTTAACCTGAGTTTTGCAGATGGTCAGGTGAGATTTCAGCAAGAGGTGATGGAGAAGGGGAGCATAGTCCAGGCATGGGGATATGACATGAACAAAGGTGTGGAGGCTGGAAAGTTTGATTGATGTTTAGGAAAGGATAAATCATCTCTTTCTCCTTGAATTGATGGACCATAAGGTGTGGAGATGGGTTGGGAGGAGGAGATGAGGTTTGAGACCAGCCTAGAGGGCTGTGACTGAAAAGTTGGGGAAGGGAGTGTGGGACAGTGGGAAGAGGACAGTATTTGGAGTCAGAAGAACTGGGGCTTCCTCTGCTGTTTGCTGCCAGTGTGACTCTGGACAAGTCACCGAACTTCTCTGGGCCTGTTTCCTCATATGTAAAGCAAGAGGGGATTGGACTAGATGCACTCTGAACTCTCTCCCAGCTCTAGGGATAGGATTTTAAGGACTCTCTCTCCCATGGGCTGGGGGGAGCCACAGCAAGTTCTTGAGGAGGGGAAGGGCTGGTGTGTAATGAGTGAGGCGGCTGTGCAATAGTGTAGAGGAGGACAGGCCATGAGGAGGCTGCCGCTTGGGCTTAGTTGGGGCCCATGGGAGGAGAGAAAATGGGATGAGTGTGGAGATGTTGGGAGAGAAGGGCCAGAAGCTAGAGGCTGATGGGATGCAGACATGAGGCGAGGTGAGGTGATGGAGAATGGCTTGTCAGGAGGGAGCAGGTTTGAGGGTGGCGGTGGGGGATGTAGCTTAGATCTCACTCTGCAACCGTGTTCCCTTGAGGTGGGTGTGGTCTTGGGTCCTGGGCCTTGGTGTGTCTGCTCTCCAAAGGTCCTGGCTCAGCCCCATCCTCCTCATCCCCCGCCCCACAGGCTGCTGCAGGAGTTGTTTCCCAGAGCTGCGGAACTGTATGAGCGAGTGGCCACCAATCGGGAACAGTGGACCAAGGTGTCACATAAGTTCACTATTCGAGGCCTGCCCAGCAACAACTCTCTGGACTTCCTGGATGAGGAATATGACATTCAGGAGCCGAGTGATGATGGTGACAAGGTCAATGGGTGCTGCAAGTTGGATGCGGAAGAGTGAGACTCTCCCCTTCCCTGTGGGAGCAGGGAAGGGAGGAGCAAGAGAAAGGACATTCCTGCCTCCCCTCCCCCTTCCCCCCCAACCCAGAGACCCCTTTTTAAAATTCGTCCTTAGCTTCTGGCTTGGACGATCATGTTTATTTAAAATATTCTAGATGCCGTCTCCTCTGCCCCCACCCCCAGCCAGGAACTGAGGGGACCTTGGGGGCGACATGGCATCAGCGCTTGGTATCCCTCTCTCTGGGGGAGTCTTGGATCCCATTTTCCCCTCTGGCTGGATCTTTCTCCAGACTCACTCACAATTCACCTTATCCCTCGGGGCAGCCTGGGTGATTTCTCCAAACATTACCTGATTAGTTCTATTGGCTTGGGGCCCCTCCTGGATCTCTGGGGATTTGAGAGGGAGTGCTGTGGTCATTACGGATCTGACCTTGCAAGGGCTGAGTGAGCCATGGTGGAGGGGTGAGGAGTCAGGAAAAGAAGAGGAAGGAATCAAGTTTATTATCGACTTGGGAGGTGTCAGGGAAAAATCAGGAGGATGGAGCCGATCCTCCAGTCCAGCTCCCTTATTTTATGGAAGAGGAAACGGAGGTTCAGAGTGGGGAAGGAACTTGTCCAAAAGTCACAAGGTGGTTAAGTGGCAGAATTGGGATTTGAACCCAGGTCCCCTGATTCTCAGGTCCAGGTTCTTTCTGCTGTACCATGCTTTGTCCCATACATGGGATGACTAGCACGAATGCTATAGAGCTTAGTGCTCTGAGGGTTACAGAGCACTTTCGGCACCACCACCCTATGAGGCAGGTAGTGCAAGTACAATTATCCCCTTTCTATAGATGAAGAGACTGAGGCCCATCAAAGTTAAGTGACTTGCCCAGGGCTCCTCAGCAAGTAAATACCAGAGGGAGGATCTGAGCCCAGATTTCTCCTGACTCTGAGTTTCCAGGGCACCATACTTCCTCTTGTGAAGACAGGGTATGGGGTCTCAGACCTCCTCCTCCACTCATCCTTAGTCATGTCTTTTGATAGCTCTGACGCTGCTCTACCAAGGCAGCTCTCTGAACTTGCGCCCTGCCCCAAAGTTCAGGGGAGAAGCCCAGCCATCCCCAAGGAGGAGGCCAGTAGCTCCTTCCACCCCCCAGGCTCAGGGTGTGAAAGCAGAGCCAGCCCATTCCCCACTGCCCAGGGAAAACAAGGGAGGCAATTTGTCATGGCTAGTACAAATTGGAGTGGAGGATTGAGAGCCCTCCTTCTCCTCTCTGCTCCCCCTCCAAAGGGCTTTCAACTGGGCAGCAGCCAGAGAGACAATGTGATTTCTAATAGTGGGAAGGACGTTGGATGGGGAGTGAAGTGATGGATTCTATCATTGACTGGCTGCCCGGCCTTGCCTCTCTGGGTTTCATAGGATCATGGGATCGTAGATTTAGAGGCAGATGCTTCCTTATCTATAAAATGAGGTAGTGGTGGGTGGGAAGAGGACTGGACTTGGTGACCTCCAAGGTTATGGCCACATTTCTGTGGCCTTGTGGAGACCCAGGAGTGAGGCCTCATCACACTTTGACAACTTTCCCAGAGAGAGCCACAGGCCCTAGTGGATCCCGGGGACCAGGGCACATCCCCATCACACCAGGACTTCTTAGACTTCTAAGTACAGGCCCCGGCCAGTGAGCAGCAGCCCTGGGCCCTCTGACCCCTCTCCACTTCCATCCCCCGGACAAATCATCAGCTTCTCAGGCTTGGGATCTCCATCCCTTTCTTGCAGCCATCCAGAGAGAGGGACCCAGTCCTTGAGCCCCTCTGGGCCTTGCTGCATATCTGTGGCTTCAGCCACAGCTGGGACTGGACTCTCCTCTATCCTGAAGGCCATATACACCCCCTTCCCCCTCCCCCTCTGGCCACTGCCCAAGGTCTTGGGGAGATGCCATAGGAAACAAGGATTCGGCACTCCTGTCCCTATCCCGTTTCTCTCTTTTTCTGTCTTGTCTCTGTCAGTGTCTCTGAGTGGGTGTTGTTTGGGCTGGGGCAGAGCTGGGCAGGGAGGGTTCGGGGTGGGGGGGTGGGGAGAGAATGGGTTCATTTGCCTTATCTATTCTGAGTTGCCTTTAGAGAGACTCTTTTTTTGTATCTGATTATGTAGGGCTCTGTGCAGATGTTGTAAATGGTCCTGTTGGCTGATTGCTTTGTACATGAGAATAAATCTATTTCTTTCTATCAAATCCCTGGAGAGGACCTTTTTTTAAGGGCTGGGCAGGGTATGGAAGGGTGAAGAGGTGGTCAAGGGGTGGGGAAGGAAGCAAATGGGATTTTTTCACCCATTACACACTGGTGCTAAACAGAACAAGCCCAATTCTTCTTCCAAATAACAAATGAATGCTTGAATATACCTTTACTCCCTGCCCTGTCCCCCCATCCCAATATCTCCTCCTCGGTAAACAATCCCAGATCCTTTACATAGTCCTCCTCTGGCATGATCTGAAAGTATTTCACCATCCTGTGAAAGGGAGTGGACTACAAAGCTGTTAGTTTGCACCTATGCCCCATAGTGTGCCCTGGCATGTGCCTTAAACCCAGAACCCAAGAGGTTAAACCATTGGTGAAGCTCAAAGACAAAAGGGAAATGGAATAAACACACCAAAAGCCTCAATAGAAAGAACAAGACAATAAATTCTAAAGACTCCCCAAAGAACAGGGAATGGAAGCAAGAAACTCCCAGATGGTTCAAATGAGGCATACAATTTATAAAAGAAGATATAAGGAGATTTAGCTAAGCCTGCAGAGGAATAACCAGGGCAAGAATCAGAGCACAAAGGGGACCCTGAAGTTCTGTCCCTCGGAATCAGCAGAGTTTCCCAGCTGGCTGATAGGGGCTGAATCCAGCAGTGTTCTCTTGTTGCTCTGACTCAGACTGGAGGTGAGACAGGGGAATGGGGCAGCAATCAGACTTTGCCCTGGCCTAGACCACTTTTAAAGTACTGAAAGCTGTCTGTCTCGAAGACCCTGGAATAACGTAACATTCAATAGCCCAAGAAAGCAGAAACAGGACCACCCAGATCTTTCCCCTAGAGTGTGGCAGAGCCCAACCCTCACATCAGGTCTGGAGTCAGGAAGTAGGCTGGAAGGATGAACAAACAAAAGAGAATCCTACCATCAAAAGCTATCGTGGAGCCAAGATGGCAGAGTAAAAGAAGTGACTTGCTTGAGCTCTCCCCCTTACCTTCCAAATACCTGTAAAAAAATGACTCTAAAAAGCTATTGTGGAAACAGGAAACCAAGATGATGGAGAGGAAAGAAGCAGCTTTCTTCCCTTGGACCTCTTGTCTTAGCTTTTTCCTGGTAGGGTCAAGCTTGACTTTGGCTCCTCTCTTCACTGTGTGGCCTTCCATTGCTGTGGCATGCATGTTTTCTCCAGCACAGTTTCCCCAAGCTGAGCCGCCTCAGCCTTCCTAGTTGGGGTGTGTGAGAGGCTTGTCCTGAGTATACTGCTGGGGGAGGTCTAGTTCCATTTCCCTGGGCATGGAAATGCCTTCCATTCTAACTTGCCCTGCCTACTATATCTCTGCTCCTTTCTATCATCACCTCCCCCACCAGTTGCAATTGTGTGGCTGGACAGGACCAATATTTCCCTCCTTTTTGAAGGAGTGTGTGTGTGTGTGTGTGTGTGTGTGTGTGTGTGTGTGTGTGTGATTGAGTCCTGGGGAAGACTTTTTCTGACAACCAGAGCTATCCAACACTAGAAAAGGCTGCCTCATCCCTAGAAGTGTTCAGGTGGAGTCTGGGGGACTCACCTTACCCCCACCCACCAATCAGGCTTTAATAGAAGAGATTCCTGCCCTAGTTGGGAGGCTGGACTAAGTGACTTTTAAAGTTCCTTCCAGAATGGGTTTCTATTGCGCCAACTACTCTCTGAGTCTGGCACATGGAGATATCTCACACTGTGGATACCATTCCCACTCAGTGGTGTAGGAATCAGAGGCTCAGACTGGCCATAGCAGGGGTGTGTGGGGGTGGCAAAGTCATCAGAATGGACAATATGTTAATTTTTCAAAGACTTACTAAGAGATTGAGTAAGTAAGCCTTCTGGGCCTTAACTGAGTTGCTCTGAATGAAAACATTCGCCTCCTGGTGGCCAGCCTTCTGTGGATGAGTTTCTCCATGCTTAGCTAGCTAGGCTGAACCTCAGATAACAAACACAGTCTGTCACAGGGCCCATTCTTGAAGCTTTTCCATCTTGGCAGGGTTTTCTAGGGCTTGTAATCTGCTGGCATGGGTCTCTGAGACCAGAGAATCCTAACCTTTTTGTGTGCCATGGATGCCTTTGACAGTCTGGTGAAGGCAATGGGCTCCTAATGCATTTAAATTAATAAAATAAAACACACAGGATAATAAAGGAAGTCACTATATTGGAATGTAGTTATCAAAATATTTAAGAAACAACCTCATGGACCCTAGCTTAGGAATTGCCCCCCCCATAGGATTATAAAATATAATTTGGAAAGATACCTTAAAAATAATACCAGATAATCCCTTGTTTTTACAAAGGAGAAAAATGAAGCTCTGAGAGGTAGAAATGATTTGCTCAAGGTCACATTAGTACAAAGTTCCAGACCAACTTTCTGGGGATTCAAACTGTGAGAGATTAAGGTACTTGCCCAGAGTCACATGGTTAGTAAGTATCTGAGGCAGAATTTGAATTTAGGTTTTCTCACCTCCAAGGCCATCCAATATGCCACTTAGCTGCCTGGGGTATGTAGTTGACCAAACGTGGTAGAGATTTAGGATATAGGGCAGAGACTAGAGTTGATGGGATTGAAACTTTGGAGATTATGGTACAAAGGAGCACCATTCCTAGTCCTAGGGCCTTCTCAACTTTGTTAGCTGGCTCCAAAATCTATAGCCCATCTGGGCTTCATTTTCTGCTACCAAGAGGAAAATCAGGCACATGGAGCTTAGCTCAGTGTCTTACATATAGTAAGTGCTTAATAAATATTTGTTAGTTGACTGGGGCTCTTTTTTTGTACCCTAATGTACTTGTTTATGATCTTGAGACTGCTGGCCTGTCTTTCAAACAGAGATAGAATAAGTGTGCCACTCCTCCTCCTCCTCCTTCTTCTTAATTCTTCTTCTTCTTCTTCTTCTTCTTCTTCTTCTTCTTCTTCTTCTTCTTCTTCTTCTTCTTCTTCTTCTTCACCTCCTCCTCCTCCTCCCCTTATCCTTCTCATCCTGCTTCTCTTCCCCCCTCCTCTTCCTCCCCTCCTTCTTCTTTTCCTCCTTCTCCTCTTCCCCCCTCAATGTAATTATAGTTTCCTCTCTGACAATTGAGTACCAATAGAAACAGTCCTGGGACAAATCACTATTTCTGCTATTATTATTTTATAGCTAATGTTCAGACAACAGTAGGGGTTGATAAAATATCTGCCTTTTGTATTTGGCTGATCCTCTGTAGGATTACAGAAAATATATGGAGAGGTTGAATGATTTGTCCTAAGGTCACCCTCATTTTAAGTGGCAGAGCTGGGATTTATGCCCCTGTCCTCTGGCTACAATTCCAGTGCTCTTCCCTCTGTGCCATGCAGTCTCCAATACTATTATTTCTCATAAATAGAATTATTTTTCTTCTGCTATTCCTTCCACAAGACAGCCCATCTCCTGACACCATGCATATTCACTGGCTGTCCCCTTTGTTCAGATTAATCTCCCTCTTCCTCCTCTCCAACTCCCGGCTTCCCAAGTCTTAGCTAAAACCCTGCTTTCCTAAGAAACCTTACCTATTTCTTCTCTCTGTTGATCATCTTCAATTTATCCTATATCTATCTTGCTTTAATATGGTTGTTTACATATTGTCTCCCTCATTAGGTTATAAACTCCTTGAGGACAAGAACTATTTTTGCTTTTCTTTGTATCCCCAGAAACCAGCACTATGTATACCTGACATTTGATTAATGCTTGTTGATTTGTCTTGATTCATGACTGTAGTATCCTCCTCACTTCAATGGTTTAATTCTTCCTGTTCATCCTTTAAGGCACAACTCAACCTCATATGGGAGGCCTTCTTTGACCCCTATAATTGGTTAAGAACTTTCTCCCTGGGACTTCCCATAGCATTTTTTCACCATTCAGATTCACTTTTCACATAATATTATCCATTATAATTCTCTGTGCATCTTATGCCCACCTTATCCAAAGTTCGCATCTCTTCCACAAACAACAGTTGCTTACTAAATGTTTATTGAATGAATAACAGCTTACCTTTAAATCACACTTCATAGTTTATCAAGTGCTCTCTGTCTCTTTATACACATATATATACATACATGTATATGTAATATATATATATATATATATACATATGAAATCTCATTTGATATACATAACAGACCTTTGAGTAGGTATGTTAGGTTGATTATCACCATTTTACAAATGGAAAAACCAAGAGTGGAAGAAACATGTCAATAATAACACAACTAGTAAGACCAATACATGGGATTTGAACCCTTGACTTCTGACTCTAGATACAGTGCTCTTGCTATCCCACACTTCCCTCTGGTGTTGCTGAGCCATGGGACTTCATATACATTGTATGACTGATTCACAGTGTTTAGTGATGTCGTCTCCTTAGTTCTGTAGCAGTTCCATTTCATACCACATCCCTGTAACCCAGAATTCATACCAGTGTTTTCCTCTTAGTCTCTAGCCTGCTATCCTAATTCCTACTCCCTATTAGGACACAATCCAACACCTATTGCCCCCATTGCTCAGGCCCAGTATTCCTCAAGGCATTTAAAAGCATTTTCTATTGGGCAAAAATGTGGACCATAGAAATGTTGTCCATACCCCTGTGCTTAACTATAAATGCTTTAATTAGGTGCTCACTCTGGCAGAAGAATACCTGCTTGACCTCTGACCCCTCATTGTATGACATTATGAGGATCAGAAGATGTTTGGCTACAGTGTCCAAAAGAACATTTCCTGTAGAATTGGCAAAGACCAAGGATCCAGGAAGTTCTGAGATGTGAAAGTAGAAAAAAAAT